CAGAACTTATCATAGAAACTAAATGTGAACAATAACTGCATGTTCGAACTAAGTGTAGAGCTTTTTAAGGAGAGATTTTTGTTTCAGCTCCAGTGCATGGGTTAGTTATGTGTGATTAGTTATTTAATATCTGCCCGCCAACCCGTCTGATAATCCTTTGACTGAAGAGTAAACGACATTTAAACGTGACCTTAAACTTGAGATTTGATTCCTCTAATAACATCAGACTTGCACTAAACCACAAATATTTTTCTTGTCTAAACTTTTCTTTTTAAAAGTCGCAGCACTACAGATGCTCCAGATTAGATTCTCTTAAAGTAGCTTTGCATGAGTCACAGTTCAAAATAATCCTTATCTTTTACTGTGCCTTGGTTCCTCCCATCAGTTCGTCCTCTGCATGAAACAAGCAGTTTTATCCTTTTTTTTTTAATTTAAGCCAACTTTCTTCTGATTGGCTATGCAAACAACAGGTGGGATGTCAGCTCTGAATGACATCATACAGAGCTAAAAGTCAGAGGGGAAAAAAGAAATTCTGAAACTAGTTTGAAGCTCTGCCTCGAAAACAACGTAAAGCAGAGATGCAAAATAACCGAATCCAACTCCGTCTGCTGAGGAAGACTGTGTGCTGTGATCAAAAGCTCAGGATGAGCTACTACAGATCATTTATCAGATGCTGTTTGAAAAGTTAATGCTGACCTTGGAGACCACTGTCCTGATATTTGGAGCTTTATGTGAAAGCACAGATTCTCCTGCTGCACACATCTGTAACATCGCTGCTGTTCGCCCACTTCGCTCGAACGAGACACACACTCAAACTGTAGAAATCTCCAGAAAACGAAGCAGCTTTACTAACCAGTCACTTCCAAACTGTTCACACAGAGCCTCAGGTCTGCGTGGACACACTCGTATCTGCAGGTAAAAGTAGTGCGTGTGAGTGCGAAGCTGTAATTTATACGTTCGTGTTGATTGTATGTGTGCAGTTTGTATGTGTGTTCCTGTGTCCACACATTAAGTAGCTCTCCAGATAACGTCCATCAGTATCCTCAGAGTGCAACACACTAACTCACCTCAGGGAGAAAATACGAATATGAATCACACACACACACAAACACGCACACACACAGCTAAGGTCTACTGAGGATACCTCACGAGTTAGAAGTCAAATCTGGATTCAGATGTGCGTCCTGCCTCTCTAACCCAGTCTTCTTTCATGGATTAAGTGTGTGATTTTTAAGGGCTTCCCTCCGTCTCTGTACTGTTTCTCTACACGAACACAGGCCTGACCCCGCCCCCGCCCTCCACTCGCTCTTCCTCCTCTCCTGTTCGGAGTGTATTTGTGCTTGTAAAAGGCGAAAGCAATGAATGTTTCCAGCAAACACTTTTTTGTAAACGACTTTAAACAATAAAGTGTAAAAGTGACACATTTCACCGCGTGCTGGGTTTTATTTACATCGTCAGTGCAAAGTTATTATTAAACAAAATTTAAGCTAACTGAAACAAAAACTACGGTTTACACAACAAGTTAATAGAAGTGAGAGGAAATGGCTCGATCAGATTTACCTGTTGATTCTACAGAAGTCTCATTTTTGTTCTATTGACTTTGAATCAACTCTTAAATAGATACATTTAGGTAGTCTTTCAAATTAACTGCTGAAAATTATGTCAGAGGGTTACAAGATGCTGATGAGATCTGCTATGATGTATGAAATGAGATGAAAAAGACAAAGAG